GGAATTCCTGAACAGCTAGTTTTTTGGTAAGAAATTGAATGAGTTCCCAATTTGGAGAAACATGCACTAGTATTTGTGCCAGATAATCCAGGGACAAAGAAGGGTTTCAGTGAAAGTCTTGACATGTGACTTTGGAGTAAATTCTAGTTTATTTTCCAAGACCCTGAGGCCCAGTTTCCAACATCACGACCAGGGAAGTTGACAATTATGCTCTAGGCCACCAGACCATCCTCTCTGCTCCCCATGCAGTTGCAGTGGTGTTGGAACCAAAGGGACAAGTATGGCTTGCTTTCAGTAAGTTAGCACTATATTGCACTTACACTTAAAAAAAAAATATCCTGACCCCATTATGTCTCCTGCAACCTTGCTCCTGGCAGGGTCAATTTAAAGTATAGTTCTGTTTACAGATAGAGAAGTACAGCTAGAATCTACCTACGTACTTAAGCATGTTATCAGGAGAGCCCAGTTCCTGGAGAAGGGCATCGTGCTTGGAAAAATGGAGGGCCAGCGCAAAAGAGGAAGACCCCCAATGAGATCGGTTGATGCATAGGTTCCAACAATGGGCTCAAAAGTAGTAAAGACTGCGAGAATGGCACAACACCAGAAGTGTTTCATTCTGTTATATACAGGGTTGTTATGAGCTGAAACCCACTGACAGCACTTAACAACCCCAACTAAACCAAACCTAGTGAAGTAAATTGGGACCCTGAGCCGCAGACCACAGCAAAACCGGCTCCAAGCCAATTTTTCCAAGCCTCATCTTTCTCTCACCAAGTACTGGGGTTCCAACCGCTGATCCTTCTGCAGACGGTCAAGCGCTTTAACCACTGTGCCAGGAGGGCTCCTTCCAACAAGAACAACAGATAATAATATCGTAAATTGAACGAAAGGCAAGCACGCATGTAGATAAATCCAGTCGGCGGGAGCTGCCCCGCCCTCCAGGTAGTTCTCAGAGGCGGGGCAAAAGACGTGCGCGGTGGGTCTTCGCACTTTGAGTCAGGCATCAGCGCGGTCGGCCCCGTCGCCCAGGCCACGCCCCCACGCCGACCACTCTAGGGTCCTTCCGTACGCGTTGATATGATTGGCCGGCGGAGAAGCACCTCCTTTCCGGCTCTGGCTGCTTGAGCGTTCTACGCCATCATGGTGAGTGTCCCTGTCCCGTGTGAGCATCCGTCAAATATCTGAGCGATCCCTTACTCCCATGCCCCGCTAGTGTGCGTGCTAGCTGCCCAGAGCCTGGCTGGCCTCCCTGGACCCGTTGGGCAGCGGCTCGGTGCCGAGGGCCATGGAGCCGCCGGGGAGAATCGTAGACGGCAGGGCTGTGCTGCTCCCTCGGACACGGGCTCCCCGCCTTACTTAGGACAGCGCGAGCTACAGTTGAGCTGATCATCCGTGGGGCACTGTAAATGCCCCTGTCCGGACTCCCAAGTGGCTTGCAGGGGATGGTGGGCCCCAGAGGCGAAGCGGGTGCCGGCAGCGCCTAGCATGTTGTTTCTAGAAAAGTAACAACTGAGTAAAGTGGGGAAAGGCCCTGCAAGGGGAAGCCGCCGAAAGCTGTAGCCCAAGTCATCACTAACTAGCTCCTTTGTTGAAGTTAAACACCCGTTTTTAACGCCACTCTAGCGAGCCATCTTTTCTCCTCTACCACTCTTTTGAGAATTCAGCTTTGCTGAAGTGAACTTACTTTGGTGTGTTTTTAGAAACAATCGGTCAAGTCAGTTGTGCCTGTTTGTGAGCATAAGCTTGCTGCCTGCTTGCCTACCTTTGTCGGGTAAAAGACCAGAGGCATCATTTCTTCGGGGTTGACCGTATTAGTACAAGTTGCATGCAGACGATGTAGATTTTTGTCAAACATGGTTTTGTGATGAAAATCTTCGTGTGAGGCACTGAAGTTTCATTCTGCAGAAATGGCTTACAAGTGCAGGTGATATGCCTATAGTGAGATGTCTGTCAACTGGAGGATGTTAAGAGCATCAAGTAGGTGGAGGCTAAAGTTGCTATTGATGCCGATTCCACCTCAGCAACCCTGTAGGACAGAGTAGAATTGCTGTATCAAGGGTTGATAATCCTTATGGAATAGATAACTAGATGTTTTCTTCCTAGGGGCATTTCTGTTGCCATCCAAATGCCAACAAAGTACCACAAGAGTTCCTTGAAAATACTAAACATCCTAAAGTATAAAACATATCTCCCACAACAGTACTCTGACCTGTAATGACAGTGGTGCTGAGGTTGAGAAATGCCCTGGAGTTTGAACTTAGAAGTAACATTGACAGAAGCCATCAAGGGTAGTTTGAGAGAGATGACAATCTTCCTTGCCTCTTCTCATTGAGGCAATCCCTCCAAGTTTTAAATGAGTAGTGCAGCAAGGACTGGGTTGATGGGTGCTGGACCACTGGTAGGACCCTGTCTACAGACCAATTTATCCCCCAGTAAACAAGGGTGCAATGCACACTATTAATATGTTTCAGAATGACACAGTAACCATCCGGACCAGGAAGTTCATGACCAACCGACTACTTCAGCGAAAACAAATGGTAAGGAAGGGCACATCAAAATTTTGGGTGACTGTCTTTTACCTTTAAAAGACATTTTCCATTATGGTAAATATTAAATGTGATGTCTCCTTTTAGGTCATTGACGTCCTTCACCCTGGGAAAGCAACAGTGCCTAAGACAGAAATTCGTGAAAAACTAGCCAAAATGTATAAGACCACACCAGATGTCATTTTTGTATTTGGATTTAGAACCCATTTTGGTGGTGGTAAGACGACTGGCTTCGGCATGATTTACGATTCTTTGGATTATGCAAAGAAAAATGAACCTAAACACAGACTTGCAAGAGTGAGTATTTTATATTTGACAGTTATACAGACCTCAACAGCATTGTGTTTTGGGTATAGTAGAATATGTAAAGGGAGTAAGTGGTCTGGCGATGGAAAACATGACAGCCTAACTCTTGTAATGGGGTAAGAGAAACATTACTTTCATAAATGCATTGATGGTGTAGTGGGGAGCTCAAATAGTTTGTGGTCTATTTGAGCTGGAACTGACTGGAAAGGCAGTGCTTGTAGGAGTGAGGCTAATGGTGGCCTAGATGGGAAGTGTTTTAAGTAACCCCTTTGTCTTTACTTTGAGGAGTAATGTGGAAAATCAATAATTGTATGTTTTAATTAAATGGTCAGAGAACCCCCTGCTGTGTGATGGTGGGGAAGCTGAAATCTTTTAAGATTTGGTAGCTAAAAGGTGGGTAGGACAAAGATTAGCCATCGTATGTGGGGTACTACGATTTTCTTGGTGAAAAGGCTTTTGTCAGCTGGGATTAAAGAGATTAATTAGGAAGGGAGCTTTAAAAGATCATTTGGGAGGTGTCTTGCAAAAGAAGTTGGAAACCTCTTCCTCTGTGGGGGAGCACTGAGTGGAGAAGTCACCTGAACAATTTTTCTCTTCTCCTACCAAAAACAATGAAAACACTACTGTGGAGGTGATGCTCACTCATAATGGCCCTATAGGACAGGGTTTTCAATATTGTACAAGCTCTGTCTTCTCCCACGGAGCTGCCAGTAGCTCCCACAGCTGATGTCCTAATTAACAGTCCAGTGTGTAACCACTGTGCAAGTAGGACTCCTTCTAGCACAATTCCTGTCAGGTGTTGAGATAAAGCATTTCTGAGTGTCAATATGCATGTCAGTATGCAGTATTGAGTTCATGCTTGTTAACTGTGTTAATAACCCATCCTCCTCTAGCATGGCCTGTATGAGAAGAAAAAGACCTCAAGAAAGCAGCGCAAGGAACGCAAGAACAGAATGAAGAAGGTCAGGGGCACTGCCAAGGCCAACGTGGGTGCTGGCAAAAAGGTATGACTTCAGGAAGATAGGGGAAATCGGTAATTGTAGCTTTTGGGGAGGGGGGAGAAAGTTTTCTATTCTTAATAACCTTTCTTAATGTTTTTTTCTTTTCCTACTTCTGGATGACAGAAGGTAACATGTTTTTAGAAGCTTTGCCATATCATAGTGTCTTAACACCTTACACTAGCTCTGCCCACCCCTGTCTAGCTCACAGATTAGTAAATGAGAGCCACATCGGTTCAGTTATCCTGGTTGGCTTAAGACCTACCATGAAGTGATCTTTCGACAGCTAATTGGCCTAGACAATTCATCAGGATCAGATCTAGTTAGTCCTCAAAATAGACAGCTCTTAAATAAACAGTTGAATCAATGTGGCTCATTTTTCCTGGCATGCTAGACACAGCTGAGATCTTAAGTCAAAAGCTATAATAATCAGCTTTTCACCAGCTTTGCTAGATAAATGTAAATTGTAAGATAAAATCAAGGTGATGGGTTACTAAATTAACAATCAAACTGTTCTGTGAACTTCAGTTGTAACTTTGTTTTTGCCTTTTCTCTTTCCGTGGATTTCTCATTCATCAGAAATGAAGTGTCTTGGCAGGTACTGAGAATATGAGCATGGTGTGCTATACCCTGCACTGAGTTTGCGTTGAAACTTTGCATGTTGGTTTTGGGTTAGTTTCTAGTATGGTCCATTAAGAATGCAGATGCTGTGCGCTAAAGTCTTGGAATGGGACCACAGGAGGAAAACTTACCATTTATCTTAGAATTTCAAAATGCATCTTCAGTTGTGAATGACCCCCTAGAGCAGGAGCTTGGGGAAACTTCCTGACGAAGGCAATTTGGATGTATATATATATATAACAAGATTCATGGACCATACTGCTCAAACATTTAATTAACTTACCCTACTGTGATGACTGGAACGGCTTCTTGGGTGAGGTGTGTGATATTGACATTGTGGGCAAAACAGCTTTGGTTAATGGTGGGCCTGGGGGGAAAGAGCCCACTCATTGTAAGCAGGTTCCTGTTACTGAGTCTCAAGTTTAACATCTGTCCTTTTTTAGTTGAATTATTTGGAGATACTGTTAAATTCACATCAAAGCCTTTGATTGTTTGGGCGTTTGAGAAAAATGGTGGTACTACATTTTTATTTTGGGGGTGTGCACTACATTTTAAACACATTTTGCACATTTGAATAGCTAAACACATGGCAAGAGTAGTAGTGACACTATCCTGTGGACTTTTACATTGTCTTTTCTCCAGGTAAGGCGGGTTTAAACATAGCATTGCCTGTCTGGGAATATAACCAATTGAAATTCCACTCCTTATAACTACCTCCTGTTTGTGAGGAAGTCCTGAAGATTGAGCAAAAGCTTGTTGTCCTTTGACCTGAAAATAAGATGTTTAATATTCTTTGTTCTTTCAGCTTTTGTTAGTGCTCAATGGTGACATGAATGCAGGTCGTCCCTGTTGAGAGCTTGAACCCTCATTGTTTTTACTTTAGTTTTGTGCTGGTGCACTTCCCAATACATCTCTTAAAAGCCAGCTGGAAAATGAATGTATAAATAAGCACTTGTACTATTTGTTCACAAAGTCAGGTAACAATAAGGTTTTTTGAAAATTTAAAAATTGTTCAGAATTCAAATATTTGTGATTGCCTTTTGGGTTCATGAAAGCATTGTCCAAAAGTTAGTGCTGTCAGCTGCTTGCTCATCAGGAGCTCGTGAGGCTGTGTGCTTCCATAAAGATATTCAGTCTCAGACCCAGTGGGTCAGGGTTGTTTTGTTTTGGGAGGTTGTTTTTGTTTTGTTTTTTACAATTATTTAAAATCATTGGGGGCTCGTACTCCTCATCACAATCCATCCATCCATTGTGTCAGGCACATTTGTACATGTGTTGCCATCATCATTTTCAGAGCATTTTCTTTCTACTTGAGCCCTTAATATCAGCTCATTTTCCTCCTTCATGAACCCTTGATAATCTATAAATTATTTTCCAATTTTAGCCTATGCTATAGTGTACAGTCAGAGTCTACATGGCCCATCATTTAAAACTCATTAAACTATGCCTTGTGATGATTCCCAAGTCTGTCGATGGTACTAGAGTACACCCAACAAGATATTGGACAGAGCAGAGGGACACAGTCTGAGGTCTGCTGACTTCCTCTACCTCAGTTTCCCAAAATAGGCAACAGTCCCCTGGCTGAGGGCTGGGATGATTGGGGGGTGGGGGGGTTTGACCAAAAGCAGATATTTGTACTTTTATCCTGGATTACAGGCTATAGTACAACAGCTTTTAATTGCTAGGGATGGGGTGTTCAAAATTTATTTCTGGAAAGTGGGCGTTAGGTCAAGTAAATTGGGGGTTTAATAAACTACATGGAACCAGTGGCAACCAGAGTTGACATTAACCATTGGCCTTTATAGATCTCATTAAGTTGGAGTTACCATGTCACCTTGTTTGCTTAAGAACCACAGTCAGAAGAGATGTTCTTTGAATTAGGAGGAATCAAATTAGTCAATAGAAAGGTGTCTGTCAGTGGAATACTTAAAATTGCATATGAAAATGATTTATCTGTAAGGTATCTGATGCGTACACTTAAGTACAGATTATCTTGGCATTTGAGAGAGACTATTAATGAAATGTTTCTTTCCCCTCTTCTCCCTTCTGCCACTGATTCAGTGAGCTGGAGATTGGATAACAGGTATAATTCAAACTATTCATTTAGATGACTAGCATTCTTGGTTAAAGTAGAGCATGTGGATGAGATTAATAATGTTCTGAAGAATCATATTGTCTCTAAATTACTAACAATGACATGGTTTTGCTTTGAAAAATTCGTTATAATCCTCCCCACCCTGTGTGCCTTTTTTTTTAAGTTCATTCTAAGTTTTGTATTTTGATTTTTGAAATGTGTTATGATCATATAAAACTTAATTCTAGTTGACTAATATTTGTTCTGCATGAGTGTCATTAATTTTTGGAATTTCTCGCAGACTTTGAACTTTAAAATTTTTAAGACTTGTTTAACAACCAACTTAATTTATTTGTTCTTCCTTTACAGAAAGAATAGTCTACAGTGACGTGATCTGCACTGGTCATGTGGATTTTTCACCAGAGAATTAATAAACTATAAAATCGTTTATGTGGCTGGTTGTTTGACGCATATTTGAATTGGATTTCTGATGTTTTTGCACATTTACATCAACACTCAAGTTCACATGTTGGCTGTATCCCATGAAGCATTTAGAGAAAAATTTGTATATACTTGTTGATGGCAAGATGATGATCTTGCTGGTTTGCTTATTGGGTAAATCGGTGGTTTATGAATTAGAGCAGGGGTCCTCAAACTTTTTTAACGGGGCCAGTTCACTGTCCCGCAGACCCATTGGAGGGCTGGACTATAGTTAAAAAACTGAACAAATTCCTATGCACACTGCACATACCTTATTTTGAAGTAAAAAACAAATGGGGCAAAAACACCCTGTGGGCTGGATAAATGTCCATGGGCGGTAGTTTGGGGAGTCTGGAATGGGAGAGTCTAGATCATCAAAGCTTTTAAAACTTGATAACAATGGGGGGGATATAAAAATTTGATAGCAATAAGCTTTCTGAAAATGCAACAACAAAAAGTCTAAAACGAGTTGTGGCAGTGCTTGTCCGTGTTGTAAATTTCTCTGGCAAAGGGAAGGTTGTGTAGAATTTTTTTTTTTTTTTGAGAAGCCCAACTCATCTAATGAGTGCTTTAAATAATGGTAAGATGGCAAGTGAGTGGCCTGGTATGGGTATTTTGTGATTTAACTTAGGCAGTGTTGAAATCCTGAACTGTTGGAAGATTTGAGGATGGCTTATTTAAGGTGGTAGGGGCTACCACCTTAAATTTGAACCCACCTCAGAAAAATGGTCTGCTGTAAAGATTTGGAACAAAAGGAGCAGTTTAAACATTGGAGCTTTAGGGGAAGTCCTAACAAGATAGGAGTTAGAAACCCCTGTCCTCTGGGAGAAAGACTGCTGTAAAGAGACAATTCTGTTCCATGACAGTTGATTTGACATCAGAGGTCTTGGTTTTGTTTTGGTCCTGGTGCATTGAGTATTATGGCAGCTATTAGCAAAGTTGCTCATCCAAACCCACCAGCTACCCCATGGAAAAAAGAAGAGGCTGGCCCTGTAAATATTTAGTCTTTGGTCCCCTCAGGAGCTGATGTAAGGTCTGTATTCGATGGTCATGGCTTTGGGGGTATGAGATTGGAGGTGTCAAGGGGTAGTGGATAGGAGTTGAGCTTGGGGTTCTTAGGTGGCCTTGGGGAATAGGCTTTGTGGACACTGTTTTAGACAACAAAAACAATGTCTTTGTGGACATTGTTTTAGACAACAAAATTTGGCAAATATCCCATAAAGATCAGATTTCTAGCCACTTGGGACATTGGGCGGCAGCAGCAGGTGCCATCTACCCACCTGGTATGGTGGCAGAGCAGCTGTGCTCAACGTAGGTGCTTTCCGTTCAGCCCACCACTTACAGACCTTTTGAGCTTGTTCATCAGCAGGCTCAAGAGCTTATGGCACGTCACTCAGTCCCTTGGTTTGGGGCTCCTAATGGTGCCTGCTATGCCTACCTGTGCCAGTGAACTTGGGGGTTCTTGGAGATTTCAGGACATTATCCCTATTACCTGATGGTAGACAGGTTTGGAAAGAACCTTAGTAAATAATGTAATGGTACCACATTCCTGTACTTCATGAGGTGGGGGTGGGGCAGGGGGACTGCCATTGAGCCGATGTTCACTCAGTGATCCTAAAGGACAGAGTTGAACTGCCCTTTTGAGTTTCCAAGGCTAACTACCGGAACAAAGTCCTCCCTTCAAGTGGCTGGTGGTTTCCAACTGCCTGCCTTTCAGTTAGCGGCCCAAGACAACCACTACACCGCCATAGGTGAAAAGTAGAGGCTTAACAAAAGTGGTGGCTTGCATGTTGCTGTGATGCTAGAAGCTAGACCAGCAGGGGCAGATTTCAGCAGGTTTTAGCTTCCAGGCTCAAAAAATAGACTGAAGAAGGAATCGGCAATCCAATACTGAGGAATTAAGCAGTAAGACTCTTATGAATAGCAGGGGAACACTGTCAGTACCAAAAAAGAAGCTGCTCAGATTGGAAAGCACTCAAAACTACTGAGAAAGCTGCCTTTGCAAAGTAGAGGTGACCATGATGGTGTGGATTGAGAAAGCTTTCCAGACCTTCATTTACTGGTAGTGCATGACGCAAAATGAGAAACATTTGTAAATACTAATAATTGGGACTTGGAATGTCTGAAGTACGAATCTAGGAACATTGGAAATTGTCAAAAAGTGGAAGGCATAAATATTGATATCCTAGGCATTAGCTAAAATATACTGGTCTTAGCCATCGTGAATCAGATGATGGCGGTTACTGTGTTGGGAATGGAAAACTCGAGGAGTGTTGTCGTCAAAAAGGACATTTCAGGATCTATGAAAATACAATGCTGTCTGTGATAGGATAATGTGCACTACATACGAGGAAATCCAGTCAATACAACTATTCTGTGCACCAGCCACTAATGCTAGGGATGAAAGAAATTTTACCAATATCATCAGTCTGAAATTGATCAAAAAGCCAAGCGGTATTTAGTTTTGGCGACTGGAATACAAAAGTTGGAAACAAGAACAGGACTCGGGACAGTAGGATAGGGCCTCCGCGATGAAAATGAGCTGGAGATCACATGATAGAATCTTGCAAGACCAAAGACTTCGTCACCACCAATACTTACTGTAAACACCATAAATGATCACTACACAGGTGGACTTCTCCAGATGGAATGCACAGAAATCAAATGACTGTTTGTGGAAAGAGATAATAGAGAAGCTCAATAGCAGCAGCTAAAATGAGGCCAGGGGCAATTGTGGAACCAGATCATCAATTAAATGTTCAGGTTGGAGTTGAAAATTAAAATGTCCACAGGAGCCAAAATATCTCAAATAGGCATGTGAATGCTCACCTCCGGGATAGCCATAGTCTCAGTAGCCAGGTCCGTGCAAAAAGATATCCCCTGCAGGGACTGCTAGGGCACCCCCTTAGGTTACCACTAGACTACCTTTAGGGTAGCCCTGGGGCCTTTAGGACCCCTATAGGACCTTCCCTAGGATATACCTTAGGGCCCACCCTTGGGACCTCCCTGGTATCCCCCCTCCCTGAAACCCTTTCTGGGATCCCTCCTGACACCCTTAGGACACTCCCCCCTTAGGACCACCCCTAGGGCTCCACCTGGGCCCCCCCCTGGTACCCATAGGACCTCCCTAGGATTCTTCTTAATGTCCCCTCTGTGACCCCCATGGCCCCTCTGTGACCGCGAGGACATGCCTAGGGCCACCTGGAGGAGCCCCTTAGTACCCCTCTAACGCTCCCCCAAGGGCCACCCCCTAAGATTCTCCCTCCAACCTGTAGGACCCTTGCCTTCTTGGAGCTTAACTACTCGAACAGGAAGCACTGCAGGGAGGCTTTGTTTTAGAGTACATCTCCCAGGTAGCCATGCTAGATTTACCATTTGTGTATATGTACACCTGTCAATTGTTTTTGTTAATTGGGAGATTAACAAAGGAACAATTTCACACTCCTCCAAGCGGGAGCTACTCATATCTTCACTGCAGCTGTCTTAACCATCAAACATGGAAAGTAATTCCTAAATGGTCTTCAGGAGCTAAGAAATCAACAGTTCTCCAAATGTTATGTGAAGGAAAAAAATAGGAATGTGAGGACAATTCACTGTGTGACTGTGGATTCAGTGTGTGAATGAAAATTCACTTTGGGAATATGAATTCACAATGTTATTGAGAAAATGTGAAAATTCATATGCTCTCACTGAAAAGCCAATTCCCAAATGTGCTTCAGAAGAAAAACACTGAAATCTTTTGCCATATTTTAGATCAGGTGGCAGACATTCTCTTTGAAAAGGATAAGCCCTGAATCATTTACTAATCTAAAGCATGTATAATGGACACATACAAGATTTTAACCCAAAGCTCACCCCTTAGTGTTATGTTAAACCGGGATCTAGAGAAACAAATCCAGTGACACTCAGGTATGTGCAAGAAAGAGCTTTATACCAGGAAGCAATCATACATCAAAAACCACCCAGCCTAGTCCAACTCAGGTCCATAATTATTGTACTAGTCCATCGGTCCCTCTTCAGACTCACACAGCCACATGCAATGACGCAGGAAGACCACAGGCTGGTGGGCGCACAGTGTTGGGGATACAATGGTGGTGGACATAGCTCCAGGGTCAGCCAGCAGGAACGTGAAGGCAGACAAAGATGAGAAGGTCACACTCACAAGGAAGGTACCATCAGGTTGAATATCACCCCTATACGTTTATGTATCTTCAAGTGAACATGAAATTGTCCACAATTCAGAAGACCACAAATGTCTTCTGGCATTACTTCTCATTATTCAAAGGATATATTCATATGAAGAATGTAACATAGCTTGAGAAAAGGTACATTTTCTCCCTACCAAGACAATGCCTTTTATTTATTTTATTTTATTTTTTAAAAAATCATTTTATTGGGGGTTCATACAACTCATCACAATCCATACATCCATCCATTGTGTCAAGCACATTTGTACATTTGTTGCCATCATCATTCTCTTTCTGTTTGAGACCTTGGTATCAGCTCCTCATTTTTTCCCTCCCTCCCCCACTGTTCTTTCCTCGTGAACACTTGATAATTAATAAATTATTATTTTGCCTTTTAATCATTTTCAAGGAAGGCCTTCCAAAAGGTCAACTATAAAGAGAATTCATTGTGTGAATGTGAAGGCAATGTGTGTATGAGAATATATGAGAATTTACACATTGGTAAAGAATTACCAATACTGAATTAAGTGCACATCTTCAGTATGTTTAGAGGACATATTGTGGGTACCAGCCCCACAAACAAATGTGTCCAAGGGGCGGTTGTGTAATTGAGGGGTAAAATTAAAGAGACACTAGACAAGATAAGGCATGTGAATGCTCACCTCCGGGATAGCCATGGTCTCAGTGGCCAGGTCTGTGCAAAGAGAGCAAATATATTTCCAATCAAGGATTATATACACTCAGGCCCCCCAAATTACATCGTAACAAGAAGGGGTTGTAC